AATAGCTGGATCCATATAATTCCTTGGGGATTCTCACTAAATTGTATTCAGTTTAACTGCCTTAAATATCTGCCCCTCCCTCCTCGTAACTTGAAGTACTTAGATAAAGTCAGTTATGGGAACGCAGTTTTAAACACCTACCTTCTGATTTAATGGTCTTTTACGTTAAATTTATCTTTACTTTATTGACTTCACTGGGCTTTTAACCTACAAAGACGGTAACTTTTAAGTAAACAATATCCTCCAAACTCCCTGATAACAATATGTAGGCCTAGTTCACATACTTCACAACAAGTTGCGTATTTTTGTAGGGATCAGTTCCTTATAGGGAGCTTCCAACAAACGTTCTCCTTCTATTCTTTGAGGATTGAAAGAAGTGCAAAAGACTAGGACAAGGAAACCAAAGTCTGCCCTAGATTGATATGATCATACATGAGGCGTTTCAATATTTAAAGTCAGTTCGATAGCCGTCCTGGTATTAGAGAACATCCCAAAACCGAAAATGATATTTTTCTTCCCAAAATGTCCATAATTAATTGGTCTTTTCGGAAGTTTGTTTATTTTTAAAACAGCAAATTAGAACAGGGATATTAATATTGACTCTACATCACAAAAATAAAGAAATTATTCCCAATGCTATTGCCAAATCTATAATTTTCCGACGTCAACGAAATTTTCAGATTATCCAGTTACAGCACATTTTAAAACTATTTTTTGTTGTCAGGGATCTCTAAGAGACCATTCCCACAGATATTTAGATCGATCTAGCCGCCTGGGGAGTCTCACTAGATTGCTGTCAGTTTAACCGGCTTAAATGTCCCGTCTACTGAAAGCTGTAAGGGGGTAAATGACTTTCGTGTGCGCTTGGCTCCTGGAAGCAGAAATTTAGCGAGTTATATAGCAATTTAGGGAGCAAGATCGATCCAGATGGATCGATCTAAATCTGTGGAAACCCAGTCTAAGACCCCATTCCCACAGATCGATTTTAGATCGATCTATCCCCGTGGGGAGTCTCACTAAATTGGTGTCAGATTAGCTGGCTTCAATGTCTGACCAGCCTACTAAAAGCTGTAAGGGGGGGGGGTAATTAACTATAGTGCGGCAGACAGCAATTTCGCGTGAATCCCCAGGGAGTTAGGTGGATCGATCTTAATCTGTGGGAACGTCTAAGAAACCATTCCCAGAGATATCGTACTAACTTTGGATTGATCTATCTCCAAGGGGATTCTCACTAAATTGCTATCAACTTAGGCGGCTTAAATGTCTGTCACACCTACTAAAGATGTTAGGGAATAATTAACTACCAGAGGCCGAGCGTGCACGAAAGTTAATTATTCCCTAGTTGATTCGAAAGGCGTGAGAGACATTTAAGCAACTTAAGTTGATAGCAATTTAGCGTGAACCCCTTTGGAGTTAGACTGATCCTGTTGCGTCGATCTAGGCATGTGAACCCAGCTGAACAATGTGAATGCAGCCGAATAGCACCTACACTTTATCACCTATCTCATATGTGTAAAAATAAAGGCCGAGTGCCAGGTCGGCACTTGAAGTTTGGGATTTGAACACAGCAGTCGTGTTTGTCTCTACATGTCATGGCGGAGGGTAACCTTTGTGGATGGGATTTTCTACAAGTAGGAAGGTACGGTTTTATAGTAGGGCAATTTTTTGGTCTTCACTTCGTTAATTAAATTGATCTCATGGTCGAATCAGTGTTAATCATTGCACTTTGTCTCGGTGAATCGCTTACGTTTTTCATTGGAGTTAGTGACAATTGTAGATTGCTAGCGTGCCTTTTTGCATTTTATTGACAGTCTTTAATGAAATAGGAAAAACCCAGCAGGGAAAAAAAACATGAAAGTAAAGCTTTCCATTCTGCATGATGTAATCTGTTTGCAAGATATCCTCTTTCGGTTTGGTAGCATTAGTCCTTCTTGTATTCGTCTAAAGAAACATGGACCAGTGTTTAACAAATGGACAATGCTTATTAATTACAAGAAAACTATATGTGAACATTACAGGCCCAAACATAAAGAACGTACTGCAGGTTTTGTATGTTTTGGTGGTCACCATATAGAATGGGTTGATAAGTATAAATAGCTAGGAGTTAATGTAGACTAATTTTTAGATTTTCAATATAATGCAAAGTTTCTATCTGAATCTGCTACTATAGCACTGGGTTTAATTATGGCAAAATGAAAAAAAAGTTGTTCAAATGGGATTCTACACATGCCACAAATTGTTTAACAGCCGTGTGACCCCGATTAATTTTAGAGCATCGGTCGAGATGTTTGGGGATTTTCGGAAAATCAAAACCGTGTAAATGTTCTATATAATGACTCAGGTCGGATAATAATAATAATAATAATAATAATAATAATAATAGAATCTGATGACTAAAATAAATGAAAAGGTAGTTAAAATAAGATATGAACTAAAGATGTGACTTAAAATGTAATTGAATTGATAAGATATTAAAAATAAACTGTACAGTGTAAAAGATAACAGCCAGTCAAATTAATTATAAAACTTTTTAAAATTGTCCTCAGACTCTATTGTTTTTACATAAATAGGGAGATCGTTCCACTCAATTTGTTCATAGACCTGAAGAGCAACATCACTGTACGCTCTTAATCTGGACTTACAAGGCGTTAATAAAAGCTGATCAAATGATCTCAAAGCACATTTTGGAACATAACGTTGAACTAGTTTTTGTGCGGGGGTGCTGGTTGGTAAAAAAATTGCATGCATAAAAGTTAAAATTTTGAATTAAATGCGTGCTCTGACTGGGAGCCAGGGTAACTGCTTAAAAATGGGTGTGATATGTTCCTCCCTGGCTGTGCGGGTTAAAAGACGTGCTGAAATATTCTGAATTCGCTGCAGTTATTTTATTCGTTCGTCGGTACAGCCATAGAGTAAAGAGTTGCAGTAGTCTAAACGAGAGGTGATCATCGCATGAAAAACTGTTCAATGGATACCATTGAAATTTGGCACAGGGTTGAACATACTCAGATATGGAACAGTTTGGTACTCCCTCAAAATGAAACGCTTGTCAAAAAAAAAAAAAAAAAAAAAAAAAAAAAAATCTTGAAGATTATACATTGTAAATTGGGCAAAATGGTGCACCAAAGTTAGATTCTCAGTTTGTGTGATATGGATTTTTTTTTAACAAATCAGTTGTTGATATAGTAAACATCAAACAATTCTCTCCCAAAGATTCCCAATTAAATGAAAAAAGACATTTTGATACTTCCTAAAACATATTTGGCATTCAAAAAAGAACTGAAAACCGAAAAAGTTTATACATAAATTTAAACAGAAAAGAAAAAAACATTATATAGGCCTACAGACACTATAGTCTAGTTTATAACTAAATATCTGATAACAGATAACAGCACTGCTGCATTACTTATTAACTCCAGTCTTCTTCCAGTCATGTTGTACTTTGAACTTATCGCCTGACAAACACGTGATGGGGCTAGAAACAGTGACAAGTAGATTTAATTTAGTACAATAATTATTCTTCACTTTGATATTGTTATTGTACCTTGTATTACTTTATTCTCTCCAGGGTGACTCCCGATTTAGCCACACAGAATTATTATTGAATAAAGCAAATAAATTTCTTACTCCCTCATTTTCACAATGTGTGCAATTTATAAAAAAAATGGTTGTGTGAATTACAGCAGGTAACTTATTAAGACGAGAAAGAGCGAGCGAGCGAGCGAGAGAGAGAGAGAGAGAGATGAGACGCGGGGGGTGGGGGTTGCAAGAAATACCTTACTGGGTAGACTTAGGCCTACATGTATATCTTCTGACAGTGCTGACTTTCTGTAATGACCTCTCTATACAGTAACAATTACCCTGGGAGAAAGCGGCACAATATATTAATGGACCAGGAAACTGCATGGTTACCTTTATATTATTGATTCCTTTACTTTTACAAAGCTTTGTAAATTATCCTCTCCTAGATTTGTGTTTCAGTTTTCCTTTGTTTTGTTTAATTATGTCGGTTTATTGGGAAATGTACTTAAATGATTGTGTGAGTTGGAGCAGATACATTGATGAAAGAAGAGAGAGAGAGAGAGAGAGAGAGAGAGAGAGGGGGAGGGTAGCCTTATATCTTGCCATGCGCACGCCTTGTTACTCTACAAATCTTGTTTCTATCACGTTTACTCAGAGTTTTCAAGCAAAACGACAAAAGATCCAAAAATCGGTTACTCTATTTTTGTAGTCCCTATCCCTTTCCTACCTTTTACAAAACATTAAAAAACGGAACTTGTTCATAATGATCTGATCATACAGATAAATCGGGAAATATGCTTATTATAAATTATGGTGTGGTCTTAGATGTCATCACTTTTATCATCATTTTACAAGTCTAAAAGAGAAGACTCTTTCCAGACCCCCCCCCCCCTCCCACCCCCAATCTGATCCTGAAAAACTAAACATGGTCACCTTCGCCTTCCTGGGAGAGGGAGGATCATGATTTCTTAATTTTTATTTTTCCAAAAGCGTACAGAGGACACCCCACTCCCCAATATACTGTTGTACATGTACTGGTAGATTAGCGAAAATGACCCCTTAAAGACAGGCATGAATAGGCTAACCCTAATCTCAAGATTATTATTATTATTATTATTATTATTATTATCATTATTATTATTATTATTATTTTATTTTATTTTTTATGTGATGATTCTTGTGACCTTTGGTAATTACTAAGATGCCGTAGTCATACCGTGACTTATTATTATTATTATTATTATTATTATTATTATTATTATTATTATTGTTGTTGTTGTTATTATTATTATTTTATTTTATTATTATTTTATTTTATTTTTTATGTGATGATTCTTGTGACCTTTGGTAATTACTAAGATGCCGTAGTCATACCATGACTTATTATTATTATTATTATTATTATTATTATTATTATTATTGTTGTTGTTGTTGTTAATTTGTTGTTGTCGTTATAACACAATCCTTACTCCTTCCAGATACCTGTTTTAAAATTGACATTCTACTGGCACCTGAACTCGCTGTGTCATCTATTATCCACTGCTCTGTGATGCCGTTTTGTTTCTCGTGGCCTGTGATGCCGTTGCCGCCATTCTTTGTCCTGTCCTGGCCTTTCTCCTAAGCGAGTCAGTGCTGTATGTGATAAACAGGCGCCATTTTCTTCAACAGCCAGGAAGTAACAGGACGGAGATTGTGGGATAATGTTGAACATATTTGACAAAGAAAGAGATATAATCTGACCGACTTATAGGTATATGGAGCAAGTGTTTAAGTTACTGTGATCTCCAAGCTGCAGCACCAGAAGTAAACATAAAGTTTAGCAATCACTGACAGAAATATTACAGGATCTACTGTCGGAATGGAAGCCATGTTAGGGCAGTCTAGACGAGGTGTAAATCCAAGATCAGGACAGGTGACAGTACAGACACAACCTCCATTAGCTGAACAGGAAACAAATACAACATCAGCTCCACATCATCTTGTATTCTTAGAGAAGGCAGAATGTGTGCGTTCCTTCAGTACTAAACTGGGAGATGATAGAGAAATAACTGGCATAACTGGGTTAGCCATAGATAAGGAACACACGTTTGTTGTGGATAGAGGAAACAACAGAACAAAAGTATTCACACATGAAGGACAATTTAAGTTTGACATTAAAGTAAACATACCACATGATGTGGCTGTGTCACAGACTGGTCACCTGTATATAACATCACGGGGTGACAGTTGTGTCCAAGTGTACTCCACCAGAGGTCAGCAGGTGACAACCATGGGTCAGGGTCTACTGGAGTTACCACTGGGTATTACACTGAACAGACAAGGTCATGTGATGGTTTGTGACAGAGAAAAGAAGTCCATCTTGACATTCCATGCAGACAGTGGACAGCTCCTGAACACTATTCCACTCAGTATGTGTAGAAACCCATGGTGCATCACAGTGAACAGTGTGAATGATAACATTGTGATATCAGACTTGGGACACTGTGTACATGTGCTGTCACCTACTGGTGATCATCTGTACAAGTATGACGGCAGCAGAGAAGGCAGTGAACTGAGTTCACCATATGGAGTGTGCACAGACAGCTATGGTCACATCTTCATTGCTGACTTGGATAACAACAGGATAGTGGCACTGAGTCCACAGGGACAGTTTATCAGATACATTGTCACTGAGGATGATGGGTTGGAGTCTCCCACTGCAGTAGTCATCAACCCTGCTACTGGTCAGCTGGTGGTGGGAGAGTATTACGGCAATGTTCAGACATTCCAGTACATTGAACTGAAACAAGGTGAGTAACATGTATTAACTGTGGATAGATATGATTATTATGAAAATTTTTTTAAAGTTAATTAGTCTTACAATGTTTTTATCCATGAATATGTTTGCCTTTATTTCAATAAAAAAAACTTATATTTAAATTCAGTAAGCACACAGCTGTGCTTTAGTTAAAATGTATGTAGAGTGGAGACATTTTCTATAGTTAATACTTTACTGTTACTGACAAATTTCTATGAACCCATTATAGTGATTAGGATTTTGAATAAGGATGAATGACATTTCATCACCAGTTTGTTGTTAACACACGCAAATAAATTAAATGTTGAAGTACTTTGGATGATACCTTATTTTCCTGACTTTGTGGATTGTTCTTTGCAAATAAAACTAGCAGACGACCATTTTTCATGAAATGGAACTACTTTTCACAGGAAGTAGTGTATTCATACACAACAGTGACCTTGGGTTTGGAATACAAAAAAATAGTGCATGCATTCATACTGTCACAGCATGCAAATTATAATGAAATATACAAAACTAAACACATTTTTATGTAACACAAAAAGTTAAATGCATTTTTATTTATTTATATTATTATTATTATTATTATTATTAT